CCAGCTACTCAGGAGGCTGAGGCAGGAGAATTGCCTGAACCCAGGAGGCGGAGGTTGCGGTGAGCCGAGATCGCGCCATTGCACTCCAGCCTGGGCAACAAGAGCGAAACTCCGTCTCAAAAAAACAAAAAACAAAAAACAAAAAACCCAAAAAACTGTTAATGTCCTACAGATCGTAAAATTATAACCTTTAGCATTATTTTTTCCTATTGGACAGAAATCTACAAATTAACATGTAACTTCATAATGGTGCTCTGATCCAATAGCAAATAGCAAAGTCAAACAAAGGTTCATTCTCCTTGGAATCAAATTATCCTTGAGCAGCCCTGCTAAATAATGACCCAGCATGACGCTGAAAAACAAAGTCACCCTTTTTGTTATTTTTAATTTCTTGTTCTACCTCCAGCTTTTTGTCTCTACGGTGAGAGTCTGTGGGGTCCGGGGCTGGCTATGTCTGTCTTTTTCACCACTGTGAAAAACATGCAAACATGTAATGTGCAGTGACAAGCAGTACATAAACATTTGTTTAGCTGAATTGAGTTGAGTTTTAGAAAGGTTAGTAACTTGCATAAAATCAAACAGTAGGAAAGTGGCTGATTCCCTGAGACATCTTATAATCTCTCAGTAGGTAGGTATATTAGTTTCCTAGGGTTGTTGTAATGAATTATCATAAACTAAGTGCCTTAAAACAACAGAAATTCATTCCTTCATAGTTCCAGAGGATGAGAATCTGAAATCAAGGTACTGGAAGGGCTGTGATCTCTCTGAAGTTTCTAAAGAAGAATCTTTCCTTGCCTCTTCTAGTTTCAGGAATGCTAAGGTTACCTGCAATCCTTGGATTTGTGGCTTGTAGCTGCATCACTCCACTTTCTGCCTCAGTTTTTGCATGGCTGTCTTCCCTCTACGTCTCTGCAAAGACCCTATTTTGAATAAGGTCACATTTACAGTACCGGAGGTTAGGACTTGAACATATCTTTATGAGGGACACAACTCAACAGAAGGCTTTGGAGTCAGAAGGTCTTGGGCTTGAATTCCTTTAGACCGTTTATTCAGATGAGGATCTCTCAGCCTTGTCTGTGTGCTTTCTGCTTCCCCAGGTCCTGAGGGAAACTAGCCAGGTAAAATTCCAGGAGCCTCAGGCACTTATCATGGCTTTTTTGCATCATGACCTTTTGATCTTACAGTTCTAGTTCTAATAATAAATCCTTTTCATGTTCTTGGAAACAAAATCCTTGCCTTTTGCCCAAGTTTTAGTAAGTGGATCTTTATCTTTTCCCTGCCGTGTCTGAGATTTTGGTACCTGCCCAGGAGGCCAGTTTTCCTGGGACCTGCTCCATGCCCTGCTGTTGCCAGGGTACCTTGCTCAGTGCCAGGTGAGCAACATGAGTTACTAGAGAACAGGGAGAGAGCAGATGCCCCTCTCCCACTGGTAAAGAGAAAACTGGCTTGGGTGGCCTGCTCCTTTTGCAGTTGGCCTGGAATTCACGAGGTGTGGTCAACAGATTTCTAAGCCAGATGGCTATCAGGAATCCCATCAAGATCCCACAGAGCATTTTGGGTCTCAAGGTTCCCAGAAAGGCCTTCTGAAGCTTGGGGGAAGCAGTAGTTCTCAGCAGTTGGTGGTTGTAGAGAGCAGTAGTCTTAAAGTTTTTCATTTAAAAAAACTTACAAATTAATTTTGAAAAACTATGAGTCATGTCACACATTTTTAAGTTAGCATCTAGAGTTTTTCACCTTAAATTTAAATAATTATAAAATATAATTTTTGACATTTTATAATCTATTAACACTCTGAAAATAAAACTGTTCCATCACTCTTTCAAAAGCGTGCAGTGGAATCTAAATACTATTATGATTTTATATACACTATGACATCTTTATGTATTCATGAACACGTTTTTTTAATGCTAGAATTGTGGTATATTTCTTTTTTCCTCTTTGAGCTCATATTTCATTTTAATTCTTCCACAAAATTGAACCCTCATGTAATACACCTTTAAGGATGAAAGCATCTTACTCTGTCCTTCTCTGTGGAAAAAGAAATTTTAAAACTGTCTTCTTGACAGTAACCTAAGGTTCTGAGGGTTAACGAATATTTATTTTGGGTTCAGTTACTATAACTATTATTAGAACACAATAAAAAGGACAAAGCTAATAAATTTTTATAAACAGTACATGTAAAATGTAAGTTTTTATTGAAAATTCAATTCTTACTGAAATGACTGGCTTTTTCCCTCCCCCCGTTAGTTTATGTATCTGTAAATGATGATTAATTATTGATGAAATTAGGTAGTTTTGTGTTAACTCTATTAATCTTTTTCATTTTTATAGATAAAAGTGCTAAAAAGGCCAGGCATGGTGGCTCACGCCTGTAATCCCAGCACTTTGGGAACTGAGGCAGGCAGATAACTTAAGGTTGGAAGTTTGAGACCAGCCTGACCAACGTGGAGAAACCCTATCTCTACTACAAATACAAAATTAGCTGGGTGTTGTGGTGGGTGCCTGTAATTCCAGCTACTCAGGAGGCTGAGGCAGGAGAATTGCTTAAAACCGGGAAGCGGAGGTTGCAGTGAGTTGAGATTACACCACTGCACTCCAGCCTGGAAAACAAGAGCAAAACTCCATCACACACAAAAAAAGTGCTAAAAATATTAATCACATAAATAAATAGCAAAAATAGAGAGACTTATGTAATGATGATGCAATTTAATCATATGAGCTCTTTCTGAATTATATACCAAAAATAATGATGAATAATTATTTAAGCTTATTTATTACCTGGCATTTTAACCAGGTCCTTCTTCAAATTAATGAAAACAATGAACTAGAAGCCACATGACTTGGAAGATGATTTGCTGCCCACTCATCACAAGGCACTGACTTCCTAAAATTTTGGGGAAATATAACAAAAAGGCTTTATCAAGACTTAACAAATTATTACTAGTTATGCTTATTACTATCTTGCTTTGAAATATCTTAATTCACTCAATAAACTTAACAAGGACAGGAAAGGCTGAAATATTATCTATTCCCTATGCCTTTGCCAAGGTGGTATATTTTATAAAATGTTTTTATCTTATTACATTACTTAAACATATTTTCATTTAAATCTTAGAGCTGAAATTTTTCTTCCTTCAGGTAGTGAAGGGGCTACCTGATCTTTGTTAGCATTATCAGCCCTAATGATGCTCACTGTTAATCAGAAAAAGTCTGGCCTCATTTTTCAATTTAAATACATGTGTTATGCATTTCAAAGAAAGCATAAAAACTACTCAAAGAAGGTTAGACAACACATTTTATAAGGTAGATTAGTAAAAGCAGTCAAGATTTGAATGATGTAATTTAGCATAATTAATTCATCAATGTTTTAACAAGTTATAAAAAGGTAATAGCACCAAATGCAATGGCAACAAAAGCCAAAATTGAAAAATGGGATCTAATTAAACCAAAGAGCTTCTGCAGCGCGAAAGAAAATATCATCAGAGTGAACAGGCAACCTACAGAATGGGAGAAAATTGTTACAATCTATCCAACTGACAAACAGCTAATATCCAGAACCTACAAAGAACTTAAACAAATTTACAAGAAAAAAACACAAAATCCATCAAAA